TAGCATTTATATAGAATTATTTTTGTACATAGTAACTTCATGAAGTTACTAACTTTAAAAACTACCAATAAAGATATAAGCAAGACCTCATCTTAATACCAAAAAAAAAAAATAACTAAGCAAGAATATCCAAAAGCAATCAGGCTAGATGTAGAAATGCAACCATTAATACTAATCAAGAGGTTTGTTTACATAATGATTTACAAATAATATAATTTGCATCTTTATAAATAATACCTCTAACTACATCAGAAAAACTAATTCTAACTGAACCTGACTTTGATGTTTTTCTTTAATTGAGCATGCAGATTATCTAAGAAAATGACCTAGCAAGAACATGAGATTAGGAGTATACAATAATTAACTGCTTAATTTAGAACTATAATATACCAATATGTAATTCCTAATAATATCTATATATATTGTAAAAGCTTGTAAATGGTCTTGCATCATATAAACAATGATCGTAAAAATCCATATCGAGATTAATATGAAATCCAATATGCATATTGACTGACTCAATTTTTTTAAAAAAAGGTAAACTACTTAGTCACAAACTCTCATATATGATTTTGTCTAACCAATTAGCTAATAATTAGCTGTTTTTTGTTTTAAGTGTTCCGTTTCTGTGATTATTAGAATAGTGAGCAAAGTTTTGTATGAAAAATTTTTTTACATCGATTTATGATATAAATAAGTTACAATAATTTAAATGTAATCTTAACCTTAACTGCGTATTATATGTTGAATAGGTTCGTTAACATCATTACATCATAATTTCGAAATTAATAATCACTGACGCTGCTTTGCACATAATAAGTGAAATTATATTATGTAATATTACATACATATACGGTATGTAAAAATCTTAACTCCCTCCAAAACCGAATAAATGAAAATCATTACTCCTACTAAAAAAGGATTTCGTAAAAAAAGTTGAAAGGAACCATCCCTACCAGGGCACAAAATTTCCGGATGCCGGAAGCTGCTTTTTCTCCGGCGGTGTTTATTTTAACCGGAACTTAGAAAACTCAACCGGATGTAGCAGTTTTTTAATAAAGATATTGTAATATTTATTGATATTTATATACATACGTATATATGATATCATATTCAGAAATTTTCCGGCTGTTGAAAAGTCGGGCCGGAAATTGTCACGTGTAAACGGAAATTTCCGAAATTTTACAATAGGATTTGTGCCCTGATCCCTACCACATTTCATGTTACACAATAAACGTGATCGTACTGGTATAAATCTACGTTAAGTTTTTAAACTCTTTGTAGGAATGGTAAAAAATCATTTTTTACCAATTTAAAACATGATGATTATGATCCGAATATATCAAATTTAAACCTCAGCATATCCAGATTATAATCATCGCATGATTTTTTTACTCTTTGTTTCTTTGAAACAAATCATTCGACATTATGAAAATCACCATGACTTTAGGGCACTGTACTACCTACTATTCTATTTTTGTCTAGGCAACGTACACTATTTGTATTATTAAGATACGGAATGCGAAATTTCAATCACCGTACTTCTGTTTAATTCAAAATGGATGATGTTTTTAATTTCGATTTAGACAAGTTTCGCGTTTCCAATGTAAATAGTGCGTATTATATCAAGGAATTTATAACTGAACAAAATGAACAAGAACTTTTGAACAAGGTTTGTTTTAATATAGTGCTATTTTAATCGGATTATATAATGCCACTGACTTCAATATGGATATCAACAGATTTTTTCTGTGCCAAAGCCGAAATGGGTTGTTCTAAAAAACAGAAGGTTACTTTTGTTATTAATTAATTAATTATTGTTATAATTTAATGCTTTGATAAAGTGAAGTTTCAGTATACACGATTAATTTTTGTTAAACACGACAGACTGCAAAATTGGGGTAAATCTGCCAGCGATAACCTTCTTATAAATGTCCTATTGCCTAATGATTCTTTTATTACTCGAATTTAAATAAAACTATGTAAAGGCGGTATACCAACAGAACGCGGAATGCTTTCTGAACCGCTTCCACCTTGGTTAACAACTTGTACGTTCCAAAAATTTTCAGCTCTTGGTCTATTTAATGAATGCGAAAAATTCAAATTGCCAAACCATTGTTTAATTAATGAGTATGAAAGTGGACAAGGAATTATGGTATATTCAAGCATCTTTATACTTTTTCTATTGTTTATTCACTCTGACAATTTCAATCTTTTCTTCCTTTAACATCATTCTTCTCGATGATTAAGCCACATGAAGATGGTCCATTTTATTATCCAACAGTAGTAACAATTTCGTTAAAATCACATACCGTACTTGATTTTTATAAACACTTGGATTCAATGAATTATACAATGACCAATGCAAATAATTGTGAGAGTAAAAGCTGTTATAGAGAACCAGAGTTTTCATTGTTACTTGAACCTCGGAGGTGTGTAGATGACAATTTGTTTTTTTTTTGTCAAGCTTTTACTAAGGCAAAGTTACTTTACTTGTACAAAGCCTTTTAGTTCTGAAATATGACCTCTATAAAACCTATCTTCATGGAATTCAAGAAACCAAATTTGACAACTTGAATGAAAAAAATATATTAAATTACAAGTTGACTAATATGACAGATGATTATGAAAATAATGATTGTATTGTCTTGAAAAGAGACACAAGGATTAGTTTAACTTTCAGAATCGTTGAAAAAGTTATTAAAACAAGGCTTTTTAATATAGTTAAAACATAACGCTTAGCTAAAGACTGATGATATACATTCGCCTCTCTTTATACCGACCTTTATATATGAATACTGGTTATAAAACTAACAAATAAACAAATAACGAAACCTCCATGTGTATTTAGATAAGACTGAATTCACTTATGATTCTTGTCATTTGTTACTTTGACTTTCTCATCTTATCAGTATGACAGATTCTTAGCCAATGCTAGAAAACTGGATCCTGATTAGAGATGCAGCAGAAACTCAAGGCATTGAGATGTGCCATATTGTAACTAAGTTGTAGTTTTGCATATCATAACATGTGTATGTATTGTATTGTTCATATTATGTCGCAACATTTTATATGTTACTAGCAAAAGACCCGTGCCTCCAGCACGGAAACGAATATTTTCAATTGATTAAATCGTCAAAAGCTTGATAAAGCGTACAAATCATGAACTCACCATTAAATTCTTCCACTCACTATTGAAATAGTGAACCCACTCATTCTACTGTTAAATTGGAACCCGTTCACTATGGAATTACAGAACACTCATCATTGCTAAACCTTACTGAACTATTGTTAAAAAGCATAAACCCTCTTCTTATCTTTAAAATAAAATAAAAAATTCATTGTTAAATTACCATTAACCTACTATTAACATCATGAACCGTTCACCATTAAAATAATGAACCTATATAATGTTGAAATCATGAATCTATCCATTGTGAAAATCTTAAAATTATAAACCCATTTGTTGTTAAAATCATGAACCCACCAAATATTGAATTATAAACTCACCTACACTAGTCGAAAAATGAAAAATCGGCTTCGAATCGGGTACGTACTGATTTTAATCTGATTGCTAACTGATTAATGTCGGATTTATAAAAGTCATTTTTTGTAATATTTTTTTTGTTATAAAAATTGACAAAATCAAAGGATAGCTTAAAGCCGAATACACCACGAAATTACTGTTTATGTTAAGATTAGGATCAGTTTAGAGTCTGTGTAAGTTAATATTAAAAAAGTATTACATATAGGAAATTATTATTTTCATCATGGCTTTTTGCTATTTTCATCATAGTTATATAAATTTTTCTATTTTTAGTTTTGATGTTATATTGATTTTAACCAATAAAGATTTTTATTTATTGCCTGTGACAATAATTATTGCAATGTGATTAACAAAGCAGATTGTAAAATTAGATGTAATATAAATATATATATATATATATTTTTTCATGACAGTATTTTTATTAACATATTTAAGATTAGCTTTTACAACTATTTTTACAGAAATGAGAGTATAACTAGTCACATATGCAATTTTGGTCACCTATTTTAAGTAGTTTATTTTAAGGTTCAACATTAGATATTGTATTTATAACCTATTTAAAGATTAACTATTTAAGTTTTTTGATTATCTGTCTTGTTGATTATTATTTTATTATTTTTTTTTAAATATTAAGGTGAATACTTGTGGTCTAAGATTTTATTAATAGTACATTTAGCTAATAGTTGCATTACAATCACAGGAGGTAATTATAAAAAGAGTGTACAACTAGGCACTTGTATAATTTTAGTTATAGTCTAATTTAAGTAACCTATTTAAAAGTTTTATATTAGTTGTTATACTTGAAACCTGCTTATAAGTTTTTTACTTAAATATTCTAGTTCTCATATTTACTCATCTATCTATATTTATTAATGATTCCAATTGATAGCAGTAAAAATATGTTATAATCACTAAGTTTTTAAACTAGTTCACTCATATAAGAAATCTTTGATCTTATATTAAATTTTTCAGAATTTTTTATATTTTATTTTTACAAATAATCTGGTAATATTATGACTAAAACCAACATTTGCAGTTAGAATGTACTATTAAGCTGTTATATTCTTATAAAGTTCACTTCAATTTGGTATTTACTTTACAACATATTGCTATTACTTTGATATTCAATTCAAGTTCTATTCAGATCTCAGTTCAGATAGCTTAAAAAGATAAGTATAACTATATTTCTAATTTATATATTTTTTGATATATAATTTTTTTCTTCAAAGTAGATCCTGGCAACCTGACTAGTTATAATAGTTTTTTTTCAAAAACTGATTTATTTTCATCTAACTTTACAAGTTTTAATTCTGTTAGTCTTTACAATAGTATTATTAAAAGTTTAAACTATCTCTTTACTTAAATTATCCAAATAGGTTTTCATATTTTTAGTTTCTGTAATTTACATAGTTACAAAAACTTATCATAGATTTACACCATTTAGTATCAGTTTATATTCTTTTATATAAGATAAACTGTTATATAAATATTATATAACTTTTTATTATACTAGTATGATACAGGTAACAAATATTTTATTTTAACTAATAGCAAAAAACAATTAAATATAACATAAAAAGAATTTTAAATTTTTGGTAATACTAGGATTTGAATTCTAGATCTGTTACTTGAAGATTAACAATATAATCACTTTATTATATTATTATGCTTTTGTCTTTTGTAATTATAATATAGTTATTAGCTAAAACATATTATTAATAAAATTCTGAATTATAAATATTTATCATAATATTAAAAAAATTTAGTTTAAATTTGATTATAACTAGAAATATATAAATATATTTTTTTTTATTCTATATTACATAATACATTATATAACAATATATATTCATAATGTTTTATTAAAATTAAAAAACAAAATTTATATTCAATATATTTAATTTTTTTTATTTTTAAATAAAAGGTTACTTTTTTTAAAAAAATATTAATGGTAAGGCCATGCCTTTAACTTTATTGAAATTCAATTGAAGTTTTTATAAAGAAAAGTTTGCTTTTAAATCATATATGAAGAATAAAGACTCAGATATATAATCTGTGACCTAAATCTACAAGAATGACCAAAGTTTATCTAGATTTGGATGTTAGTAATAATATATGAAAAAGAAGTATGATATTCAATCTATTGAATAGTGCAAAGATAAATTTTAATAATAATTTGTAGTATTAAAATAGGAGATAGTAGTAGTCTAAAAAGAGAATTATAAGTTAAGTTTATAGAAAATGTAATTTGAAACTGTGCTGAATATGAAATACAATATGAATTTCATATTTGTTTACATATTTGTTAGTTTAAATAAAGAAAAAATTTAATAAAAAGAGAAGTAGCTATATATAATAAGAAATAGAAATAATTATAAATAGTAGAAATAAGATCAATAAGAACTAAACCAGATAAAGTAGAAATAAGTGATAGTATATAAGAAAAGTTATGCAGTTTAAAATTGTTAAGTGTAAGAATTTCTTAATGTAAATTAGAAATAAAATTAGTGAACATGTCAAAAGCAATTGTATTTAAGATGCAATTAAGAGAATTAAAATTAAGTGATAAATTCTTTGAGTAAAAAGACAAAAAACCCAGCATAATAAAGAACTAATTTGATTACATTGATGACAGAGAGAAGAGTAAGAAGGATTATATTTGTGAAGAGTATGAGGAACAGGTAGTTCATCTAAAAGAATTTTAACATAAAAGGTTTTTAGAATAAAGGAATAAAAACTAAAAGCAAACTTAGAAACTTTTTGATTATTATTAATGTAAAGCCAAGTAGCTTCTTAGTTGATATTGGATACAATAGTAGACTATTGTTAAAAATAATGTTGAGATGTTTAAAGTGTTATAATATGAGCTTAACAGATAGCACAAATAGAGCATCAAATAAAAATCTTAATAGAAAATTAGTCAATAAATGGAATATAGATAAAGTTGTAAGAGTTATTACTTAAAAATATTAAAAAAAATAGTATTTGATAACTACAAGTAAGCTAGTTAGTAAGATTATTAAATAGGTCATCTTAGTGTACAGTAATTTTATAAAAAGTGAGCTGAATATTGTATGAGTTAATGAAGTTAATAAAAGTTTGCCAAATAAAAAAGTATAGAGTGTGGGTATAAAAAAATTTAGATGCTAATATGCAGATATTGTAGTATTTAAAAATTACAGATTGTGAGTTAGTAAAGATATAAACAAAACAGTTTCTGAAAACAATAATAATTGCTAAGAGAATAGCAAGAATTTTAGCTTTAAAGAAGCATAGACAGAGTTTAACTTGTGTCTAAAATAAGTGAGTAGTTGCAGAGTTATCAACTTAAATCCAGTCTATGCCCATAGAGCATTGAGAGGTACCAAGCTTAATAACAGAATCATTAGTATAAAATATGATAGTAGTTAGATTATAATTAGAATTACTAATAGACTATAAGCTGTCAGTAAGTTGGCCTAACTAAAAGATACAAAATAATTGTTGTGAATTAATTGTTAATAAAAGAGAAGGTGGAATATGTAAAGAATATTGAATAGCTACAAAATATGCAATATCAAGGAAATTGGCATGTAGAGTAAGAGTTTTGTTAGAATTAATATAACAAAGTAATTTAGTAGCCAAATTTGTAGGAATAAAGATAGTATATTTGTTAGCAATTGTATTGTAATTAAGATAACATTCAAGGTATATAGTAGTAGTAAAAGAAAAAAATAAAATAAAGATTAGAAAACTAAGACTGAAATAAGCAGTGCTAGTAAATAATAAGAGTAAGACCTGTAGAGCTGTTATGCCTTCTGGCCTTGTCAACAATAATTTGATTATTGAGAACAATAAGTAACCAGAATTTGGTATTAAAATTAAAGTAATCAATAATATAAGGAAAGTAGTTTGATTGAGATAAATTAAAATAATTATATAATGTATATTGATAAGAATGGCTTGTAGTAATATTTTTAAGAGTAGTAAACCATTGAAATATAATACCTTTAGAAAGTTTGTTTAGTTTAAAAAAAATATGTTCCCAATGTAATAATTATAAATAATAAGTTGGTCAAAAAAAAGGAGTTTATGGTATTTAAGTTATTTTTTAAAAACAAGGTATTTAGAATAAAAGAAGAGAAGAGATTTAAGAAAGATAGTTTTATTATATAAGGTATAAGAAATGTTATAAGTTGAATTAATTAA